ATTACCATTCATTAAACTACAGATATAGTTTAATACCCGAAATCATCAAATGGAGTAGAAGGTTTATTAAAATAAAAATTGATTTAAAGTATCTCGAGAGATCTAGCGGTAAATTGTTTATTATGAAAAAGAATTTGGAAAATTCTTATCACTTCACTGATATCGAATACATTGCACCAGGTGAAGAGGTTACACAAAGCAAGAAAATATAAAATTATTAGTCAGGCTGGTTTAATGACAAAACCTGAAGAGTGAACATGACGACAGGTACCGATCTCACGAACGAGGGATGAAAAACATATGCCCGGTTTTCCGTTGCCTCGGTCAACATGGGAAATCCTGTTTAACAATCTACCATTTTTCACCTCGTCCGTTCACGCTTCTGTGGCTCCTGTCAGTCCCGGAACATCATCCTGGTCAGGCAGGACCCGGGACCTCCGGGAGCTATCTTTTTTTCCCTTCCGTGGCCTCTCTCGCAAACACTATGAATTATTTATTCACCGTAGGAACACCCTCGATTTTTCACGCATACCTTTCATCCCTCCGCGCTCTTTATGCGTCCGCACAGAACAGCTTTCAGGGCGGTTCAGTTAGGGGAATGACGGAAATTATGAATGGCCGAATCCTCTTCCCGGTACTCGGTGAATCCTTAATTAAAATTCCACGTACTTTTACAATCTCACCTGATACACTCGATGCTGAAGGAATTAAAAAGACGATCTCCTCGGTTCCTATTTCCAGTTTTCGATCTGTTAAAAGACTGGAATACATAGCGACGCACAGGTTGAAGGAACGGGTTAACGGTATCGATTTTCGTAAGGGTCACCCGGTATACGTGACGGTCGTGCGTTATCCTAGGATCTGAGGAAATAAACGGTTTCCTGAGCGAAACGTGCCATCGCGGTGTGGGCCAGGGACAGACAAAACATGCGACGAGCCGCCGCCGTTTTAAAGCCACATTCACATTGGCTCGGGGCTCCGCTACATAAATATTCATACCACTCCATTATGAAAACACGTGAATGGAAAAGACTCCTGGCTCCTCCTCATTCACCTTTATCAAGATATTTGATCAACTGCCTATTTATCAATACATTTATACACTCCCACGGTATCGAAAATAAATAATCATTATAAATTATGATCAGCTAATTTTTTCAATTAGAAAATATACGTATATATGTATATGCACATTTATACATGAGTGTAGTAAATATATATATAATAACAAATATATTATATATACAAAATAATATATTATATATATAAATATGTTTGATTATATACATACATATATATAATACATATATTATATATATTGTTAAACATGTAACCTTAAGCGAATTTGATGAAATATGAAAAAACGATGAATTTAGGGCAAGTAAGGCACGCCGGTTGTGTGTGCGACGAGAAAGTTTGAAATCGACAGGATGCGGGTCTATGTAGAATAGAATCGGCTTGTTTATGGGTTGTTCACACGAATATCCTCGAGCGCAGTCCACCACTCTGGTTTAATGGACCGTGAGAGAAAGAGACGACGCGTCTATCCTTCAGGATTCTTTAACTCGAAACACGTTTCCTTCCCTCGATAGCATCTCGTTCGTTCGACTGTACTTGACCGTGCATGCTCGTCTTCTCCGGAACAAGTATTTTCTCGAGCAGAAAGCGCGATTCGCCGATTTCCGAAACGAACGTTTCGCCAGCTACTGCGACTCGCTCGAAACGCGTAATTTCACGTCTCCACGGATGGCACATGATTTCCTCACGATTGCGAGTGGCGCCTAAAAAATTCGAACGGATGATTCACCACGTTTCGTAATTCTGTACGTGGAAAATCTCACGCGGACAAAACGGAGCGACCCTGAAACGGAGTGATTCACCGTTGCAAAAACGGCAGCAGAACTGGTCGCGGCGGTTTCGGATTAGAAAATTTCGCGTGGCGGCTTTCGTTTTCTATTTTCACGCGAGCCAAACCGAACGGCCGAGTTTTTCCAATGCGGCCAATTAACCCGATACGCCGAGGACACTTTCACGATAATGATACTCTTGATTAACGAGAGGAAAAACTAAGATTTACCGCACGAAGATATATCGGGAACGCGACTCGTCACGACTTGCTTCTACACCATTTATAATTTATACGATCTCTCGCTGATTTCTATAAATATATAGTAAATGGACTAAAGATTTTTTTCCGTATTTCTATCCTCAAATTATACTAGATACTACGTGCTGAAAGAAACAGAAAACAGGATATAAATGAACCCTGACTTCGAATAGAATAGAAAAACACTGAAGTGTTCAGCAATAGAAATTGTCTGTGGAGAATCGAAAATGAGGCCCTAATAAAAAAGGTAGAAATTGTGTCTTTTACTTTTTTATTCGAGACTCCGACAATTCTTTTTAATTTTTTGTTACTATTGTAGGGCTTCCTTATGTGCGTGGATGGTCCAAGATCTTGAACATAGAACACTTTGCCTTTATCGATTCTTATCTCGTCAGTGTTAGGGGACACTCATTTCTAGCCAGCAATGGCCTATTCCAACTAAATGAATCATTGTCCCGAGCTGTAACTGTAGTCGTCAGCTACAAATAAGGTCGTATGCAATTTCTCCGTAGGTCCAACGGTTTAGAAGTATTTTAGGGAAAACGAAATTTTTTACCAAAAGCTTGCTGTTTAAACAGGAGAACGGTCGGATTTAGTCAGTGACAATAAAATACTAATTAATGATACTTAAGTAGTTAAATATCGAAATTAAAAGAAAAATACATAGAACCTTTCTTGTATAGCTTGGGACAATGAGTAACATAGACTAATTAATATATAATTTTTATTTTAAGTAATAGTCATAATTAAGAAATTAATTTCATCATGAAATGTTGTGCGACTGTTTTTCTATTTGTCATTTGTAGAAGCATCAAAGAAACGTGTGTGTAAACATTTATATACTCTATATTAAAGATATGAATTCTTGCAATTACAATTGTTGATCGTTTTTCTTCTCTAAGAATATACATATAAATAATAAATGATCGACAAGTCATGCATTGGTTCCACGAAACGGAATCTTGTAAGCCCCTCATACAGAGAGGAAGAGGGGAGAATACGTACAATACAGCCTTAGCTCCCTAACTGATCCTAAATTCTATGTATACTACATTATGTAGTAAATCTCCTAATATCCTAAAGAAAATGGAATTGTATAACCCAATATTAAAAACGTGTCTGATTTTATTAAATCACTGCATATTCAATCGTCGAATCGTATGGTTCATGTTCCTATTATTCGTTTGCTCAATTAATCAGTGAAACGAAGGGGTGAGGTTGCAAGCTCTGGAAGCACGTGTCAAAACGTGGGTGTAGCCTCGCGTTGAAGCCGTCTATATTTAACGACGCCCGATCGATGCGAGTATGGAAATGATCGGGTACTATTCAAGGGCCATCAGCTGGTATCCGTGGAAAGCAGGTGGGAGCGTGTGTCGTAGGTCGCCGATTAACCACTGGTTTCGACATCATATTGCATTTCCTTGTACACGCACGCGACGGGAATGCAGTTGAAGGACCTCTACGGTAACACCCCACGCCAATTTGTTCTCCTATCTGCCCGGAAAGAACGCCAGGAATCCGGTCGATCGCGTCTAGGCCGCAAACGTCCTTCGCTACGCGATAAGGAATGCCTTCGGCGAGGGTTAATGGACGTACTTAGACGCAGGCTGGTCATTTTCTACGCCTCCCTATACCCCGTGCCCTCGTGGTCGACATAATACCCGAGATAAACTTCCGTCAGATATGGGACCTGATTTCATGAAAACGTTTTCTGGCTCCGCTTTTGACAAGTTCAGTTCATTTGCAACATTCGTCACCACCAAAGTATCCAAAAGCGAAATAACGAAGTATTATCTCAAATTCTTATCAGTCAAATAAAAATCACATAAAACCTTGTATTAATTTTCATAATATTTAAGAAGTCTAAATAAATCTTTTCTATGCATTTTTCTTCTAACTCCAGTATTTAACGAGTTACGTACGATTAATCGGGTGTACAGGTAATTTTATCATCTCTACAAGATTTATGTAAACATAAATTAATATAAATTTTTCAATTTATAATGCAAATGAAAATTAAGAATTGCATTAAACCTGTGAGTATTCTTGGAATTCGAAATAGCCTGACAATTTTATAAACGCATAATCTGAAGAGTGGCTTGAAACGTTTGGCTCGCGGTATGTACAGAGAAATACGTGCGGGGTTTGTTATGGGCGCCGTAAAATTGGAATACGTCGACGACAAGTCGCAGGGTGGAGCATGAATTCTAGGGTCTATTTCTATCGCGCGGCTAAAATTGTTGCGATCGTCGACAAAGCGTGGGCGTGTTTGGATGCTCTTCCCAGCAACAGTAATTGCTCGGGACGCGATGGGTTAGAGTCGCTCGGGGTGCTGGTGACATACCGACGAGACGGACACCAGTCCTCGGCTCCTACGCCGTTCAATTGAGTGACGTCAATCCCTTCTGATTACCTAAGCTTACGCGGCTCATCCGCCCGCGCTTATAGACGAAAAGCTCGAAACTAATAACTGTCATTATTGTTCCGACTTGTGTACAGAAGTCGTCACGTGGACAGTACGTGGGACGAAATCGTTCGTACAGAATTCTATGTATAATTATGAAATTAACCTATTCATCGTGAAGTCTTGAATAAATGAATTCAAATTCATTAGGACGTAAAAACGAATCCACTAATTAACTTTCTAATTCAGAATTTGTTTCATCGAGGATGAGACCTCGAATGCAAGTCCAATTTGCTTCAAAGGTGCAGTTTCACTGTCACAGATACGTTATGCACGGTCGACGGGGTAATTTTAATTAGACCTGATTGGGGTTAAAGGTCATTGGGCATATCCTCAATTATAGAAGCGAACAGGGTATAATCGAAATCGCTTTCGGTCGGACAGTTTGATTGATCCTCATTAGGACTCTAATTTTTCTGTTTATACCAGGCGAGCTCTACGTGGAGGACCTAGGTGAGAGGAGGATCGTTTCTATCAGAATGGGCTGGCTTTGGGTCGAGGGTACTCCGATGAGGCTACCGTTGAGGGCGTTGAACCTGCGCCAGGCAGCACCCAGCCTCTGTCAACCGCACGCACTTGCTCTAGGGTTCACGTTAAGCAACTCGCAGGATCATACCCTCGCCACTTTTTGGGTAATGTCCTACATATAAAGTCTATCACCAAAATACGTTCCGAGGTATAATAAACGATCCAATTTCAATAACAATTTTCACTCGTTTTCTATTATTTTACATGTAATTATAAACCAGTAAGTAGAAATTCACAGAAATTGGGACATTTACTATACTTAAGAATCTTCTAAAACAGTTTTAAAAACCTGTAGAATATACAATGCATCTTTTAAATGTTTCCATCATTTTTAGAGATAACAATTTTTGTTTTTTATTTGTATCAACCATTTCTCACTTTATCACGTTATGCTTTTTCTAAAATTCTGATTAGGAATTGTGTCTGATCGAAATAGGAAGAAGTGTTTAATTCTATGTTACACGCAGTGCAATTGCATGTAAAAGGCTTTTACCCACAGCGCGATCCGTTTCCCTGCCCGCGAACACTTTCTCGCCTCGGTCAGAACTCTCCCGTTTCGCTAAACGCAGCAATTTCTAATTGCGCTCTCCACTCGATGTCTATCTGATTATGTAACACTGACACTTTATCAGTGTTCTCACGTCCTGTATTCTACACGTTTCTCATTGTTCCTTCCTCGTCGCTTATTTCCATACAGTCTACTTTTTCAATATTACCATTAAAAATGATTCCTGCCAAAAGTTCAGCATAGAACAATGAGAATTGCGTGAAGGTCGACGGGCGAGATAAAAACGAGACCTGAAGGACGGCGGAGAGTGACGTAACGAAGCGCGAGGAAGGTAATAAGGTCAGTAGGCAAGGTCAAAATCCGCGGGTTGATCCCGCGGCGGATAATGCGTGGGAGATCCGCGCGCCGTTCTCCCGTGACCCATCATTGTCAAGGAGTCCCACGCCGTGTTCCACGATTTTTCACCGCGAACGGACCGAGTTCCTTCGCCCCGGCTGCGTTACGTCTCGATCGCCTCACGGACGCTCCCAAAGGACGTTCGAGCCGCGTCTCGTTTATTCCGCGGACAAAGCCGGTGAATTGCCATTCAGGGACTTTAATCATCGCCGGTAATTGAATTTAATCGGCTGATTCTTATCTCCGACCAAGAATATCTTAGTATTATTATTCAGGAGCGTAATCACTGTACGAGTTTTTGTTATACGTGAATGATTCATTTAAATAATAACAAAAAAAAATTAGCAGAATCTTTGAAGAATGAACAATATTTTTTGTTGCACAGGCGGACACGGAGGCTATTTACTGGTCGTGGGTGCGAGCCATCGCGGCGGAATTGGTTAGGCAAACGCCGTTCCGGGCGCAACGTTGCCTGAACTTCCTGGAGATTTTGACCATCTGCCCAAGGGAGTCGGTCCCCTTGCCGGACAGCCCGACGGAACCCAGAAGGCGTTCGAGAAGCGAGTTACGCTGCTGGCCCGGCGATTCCCCCATAGGGAAAGACACGAGGACCAGTGCGACGATTCTCGAGGATTCCAGGCGAAGAGCACGGAGTGAATTACGGGGTTGGTCCAGCAGTAACTCGAGCGACGAGGATCTCCTGGCTGACTTTCGCTCGATACCAACGATAATAGCCAAGGACCAGCCGATTACAAGGACCTGGGGTTGTAGCGAGAGCAGTGAGGGAAGTGACGACAGTCTACCTTGGAGCAACGTCTGTCGCTCGAGCGTAGACTCCGTAGACTCGACAGTAATCCCAGAACCGGAAACGAGAGAGCAGAGGATCCAGAGGTACAAGGAAGCCCGGAGACGAGAGAACGAAGCTAGAAGCAGAAGAGTGTTAGAGGAAGACGCTAAGCGAAGAAGAGCCAGAGCTGAGGAGAACAACAACGATATTTTAAAAACCTACGGCTCGAGCAGGTCGAGGAGCAGAGTTTACTCTGTTAACGATAATGACAATTATCGTTCCGTGAAGAAGGATCAGGAGAATAGCTACGAGTGCTCCAGACTGAACAACGAGAAGAATATCAGCAGGCTGCCCCCGGTGAAGCCTAACGAGAATATTTCCGTGAGGTTCGAGGACGATCAGAGGAACGAGGATGACAAGAGGAATAACAACAGTCCCAGGAGCGAGAACACGAGTCCTGGGATACTTCGGACAGACATGAACGAGAGAAGAAGCCGAGCTAGGGAGAGGAGGAGCGTCAGGGAGAAAGGGCAACTGTTGCAGACGCAGCAGTTCACGAATACCGCCGTCGAGACTCTTCAGGAACGCAAGGAACGGCTGGCACAGTTGTCCTCCAGGATTCCAGTGCCTCGATCGATATCCCAGAGCTCGAAAGTCGAAAACTGTGACTCTCAGATTTTGCCGAGGTCGGCGACCTCGTTGTCGGTTTTGACCGAGCCACCTTGCGAAGAGGACGTAGCGAGGCTGTTGGAAAGGTGTCAGAGGGTGGATCATTACGTGCCGGTCCGAGAGAAACTGACGTTGTTCGAGTCGCTGTCGAGGCTCGGCGGCAGACTCGCGAGGAGCACCGAGGATCTGGGTAGGACAACGTCGAAGCCGAGCCCGAGGGGAAAGCAGCGGGCCAGGTCGCTCCACGATCTCAACAGAGGAGCCAGAGCTGTGCCTGTGCGGGAAATGTGTCGGTTTTTTGAAGGCGATGTGGAACAGGACACGAGTCTCAAGACGAGCCTCGCCAAAACGAGGTTCAGCGACCCAGTGACGCCCACCAGGAACACCTGGAAAGAGTCATCCGTATCTAAAGTCAACGAGGCGCCCTGCATCAGGTCGTCGACGAGGAAGAAACATTACTTGAAGTAGTCGTCGCATTTACATTTGGTCTGACCCGAAAGCAGGTCTTTCTGATTCCAGTGATAAGAAAAAACCGTCAGGCTTGCTTGTTCGATGAGAGTTAAATCGCGTGTCGACTGTACGCGGATCTACTGTACTTCTTCCGAGTTGGTATCAGATATTTCAAAGACCGTCGGATTAACTTCCGATACCATCCGCGACTAGTACATTGGGTTAGAATCCGTTCTCCTCGCGACGGATCGTCACACTCGTGTCGAGAGAAAGTCGCTGTCTGAAGTCACCTTTTTTTGCTCTCCAACAGGATCGAACTCGAACTGTGCTCGATTCGAAGAACGAGTATTCCTCGCTGCGACGCGAGCTCCGAGCGACAAGAAACAGTTGACAATTTCGTCGCGAACTCTTCGGCTTATTTATTGCACTTCGCCCGTTTTGTTTTTCTACCGAGATTCCACTCAGAGGTCGCCGTGAACGTGATTCGACGTCACGGATGAAAGAGTGCGTCGAATCGAGAGACGAGGGACGCGAGAGAGAGAGAGAAAGAGAGAGAGGGAATAAGAGAGAAACCGGTAATTTCCATTCACCGGACGATTGTCGCGAGACACCTGCCGGATCCTCGGTGGTCTTCTTGACTCGTCGACGTTCAGTCGCAATGATAATTCATTCTAATTAATGAATTGTTTCAACGGTCGTACGAAACTCGTTGATCAAAATGAAAACGGAGTCGCAATTATCGTTGCACGAAAACACTCGCAGTAATTAATTTTGTATATAAATCGTAATTGTACCTGAAATTCCCTAAGTTAACTCTACACGTGTCCGTGTAATTAAATGGCCGGTCATTTTTGTATATAATTTTCTGTCTAATTTAAAAAGCCGGGAGATTGTATCGAAGCATCCGTTTCGGCGCGTGAACTAATGCCCACTTCCGTTTGCTCTTCCAATCGTCGACGATCGTTACCCTCTCCTTCTGTCTCTTTTTTTCTCTTTGCGTTCAATTGGGTCATGCGAACGGTCCTCGGGCCGCGTTAAAAACAGATTAAATGATTCGCAATAAAAGTAACCCTTGCAATCCCAGATTTTAATAATTTAATTAAATACAGTCTACTTTATTACAAATAAAGGCCAAGATTTATAATAGTTTTGTGCTATTCGAAAGTAAAAGCGATGTACTGTTTGATTTTATTTGATAAGAAATTGACGGGGGTCATTTTTGTTATGAATTAATTTACACAAACGACGACGCGGACATCGAGGCGTTCTTGCGCGCGTCGCTGACTATCGATCACCGATAATACTACTAAATAAAGTGCCAAAAAGAAGATGTTGCGTTGCTTCTAGGAAAGAACTGCATGTAAATGCGTAAACGGAATGAATGAATTTTTGTACATAATTTTTTGTTAGAGGTTAATGTCGAAAGAAATTTATATAGAATTTTTTCTTGTTCGTGTTTCGATTATGTCTGTCACGAGTCGTGAAAAAATTGGACACGATTCATCCGCGGATCCGCGAAGATCGTTTATTTATTATTATTTGTATAGAGAATGGCGTTATAGCCAGAAGTTTCGTTCTTTGAGAATCGAATTTGTACAGTAAATTATGTATAATTGAGAACTCGCCCTCGCCAATCAAAGATCCATCGTTTATTTTCGTAACGGGCACCCGCGTTTATATTATGTATTAGTAAATAGGAAATCGTGTACGATTGTGTGACAATGTACGATGGAAACCGTGTTTCGCTTAGGAATTATGTAAACCTGTCGGCAGTGTAATGGAACATGTATATGTATTAACAATTGAAACGCGTAATTGTTTAAACCAACGACGAAATCGAGCTTTGTTGCCGAATGAAATTCCCAGCTCTCAAATATAATTCATAGGAAATTCAGAACAGCAAATATGAACGTCAGGTTTCTAGTTATGAAACTAGCAAAATCTTTTATCTGTAAAAACGATATCTCATTTTTCCATCGATGGTTGTTTCGAAATTTTAATCCAGAACAAACAGTTGTATGTTAAAATTGAAATCATTTATAGTAAATAATCTCTGTTCATGTAACAATTTCTACTCACTGGTTTTTTCCCCTTATCACTTTATATGTAATCGTGAGCCAGTGACTGGAAATTGTTTATACATATATATAGTCTTCAAGGACGACAGATATTGTATGTATCAGAAGACGAAAATTAAGGAGACAGGTAACAAAAGCAGATCTCGAACAAGGCTCGATCGCGTCGAAGCGAGCCGACGACCAAGTGTACAGGGTGAGTTCCAGCAACCCCTTCTGCGGCCGTCTTATCTCTCGCATGCATTCTTCTGCTCGCGTATAAAACCGAGAGGAAACGCGTTACAGGTTCTTCGAACCAGGCAGGCGCAGCGTCTGTAAAAAATGTAATACCCGAGCGTTGGAACCCCTCGAACGTGAGAAGTCATCCGAGCTGCAGGGGGTTGTTGGAAAAAATGGAAAAACTCGATGGTTGTTCCGCGGAAACAACGCAGCCTGTAGAACCGGTCGATCGCCAAAGAGTCCTCTAGTCCCTCCACGGAGAAATCCGAAAAGGCTTGTACGTGTTTGTCCTACCCTTCCGGGGGTACGTACGTATATATGTACATATAAAACGGAACCCCCCTCAAAAGCGAAAAAGAAAAATCGTCACCCCTTGCCTTATACACATAATGTACGCGATCCTAACGTGGCTAGAATATTCGTGTCCTTTAAAACCGATAACAATACTTAAACGCGGATCTGTATATGTTACATTTCGTTTTGTTGTATAATAAAAAGGTACGAATAATGGCCGTTATATAAAAGTGATTGTCGTTAGAAAGTGGTCGAGAGGAGGAGGGAAGGCCTTGGCACTTCTCGCCCGTCGCTTTACATTTGTTCTATCCGACCATCAATTCCATTTACTGCCTCCATGCTCGCACAATTCCATTTCATAGCTTCCCTACGTTTCATAATAATATGTAAAACAATCTCTGAACGAAGTTAAACTTTGCAATATAGAAACTAATAAATCCTGTCCATTCTCTTTTCATAATTTTCCTACAAGATATCTGAGTCGAATGAAATTAAATCATGACATCAAAATTTAATTATCTATCTTAAATAATAGTAGGTGGGTTTGAATGTTCGTACCATTAAGGATAATTGCTCCCTTTGTACAATTTCTGAACGAGGATAAAATTTGTAATATAGAAAATAATAAAACCTGCCCATTCTCTTTTAACACGTTAAGTATAATTTTCATTCAGATTACGTCAGTCACTGTTGATATAAAATTTAAAAATATGCATTCTTCCATTAAAAAACTCTAAATAATTTGGAGATCACAAAAGAATGTAGTTAAATATTATCACCAAAAATAAATTTTAATAAACACTATTAAAACATTTAATGACTAATAAAATAATTAACGGCTAAATGGAAAGGCAAAACAACCATTTTATGTATTAACAACTTCCTTATGTTTCCTAAGTCTAATTAAATTAGATCTTAACGTCGAAGTAAACAAAACAGAACTATCTCACAATTCTGTGATGTTCATTTAGGATTTCCTTTTCCTTCAAGTCACGATTAGACGCACCGAAGCACGCGCTACTAATTGGCGAAGGTTTTCGTAAGATCGCCGAGGCAGATCGTCGGCGAGGTTTAGAGAAGCTCGTGCAACCAGAGCGGCACCGTGAAACTATTATATCGAGCGCATCTACTTTCGTGCGAACGGATCAATTTGGTAGGAAACAAAAATGGTGCACGTGAGTTACGCTCGGTGGTTCGCGATTAAAACGCATCGTCATCGATGAAACGAAGCCAATTTGCTACCGCGAAGGCCGCAGACTGTCCTCCGCGTTGGCTCTCACATTTTTCTCATTCCACTTATTTGCCTCGGTGAACCCGTTTACAGGACCGCCCACTTTACGTTGCTCCCGTGTAATTTTCATTCCATGTACCACGCGCGAAAAATAGAATATTCCAGGGGGAATCACGAGCCGCGGGATAATTTATCTGCCGGTGCTCGGGACCGAGTCGCGATAAATTTAACGATGTCGTTAAACGTAGCGCTCGTGAGTAACCATTGATAATTTTCCCTCTATAAAAGAATTTAGGATACACCCATAAGGAGGATAAACCGGAGCAGTCGTCGCGTTATCATAATTTCGCATTTTCCCTCGTCGGCCGGACTCGACTCGTTGCATACATATACATACTTGCATGCGTCTGTAATTTGTTACCTCGATAAGGTACTCGCATCCACCTCGTTAATCGCGATTCAATTTTCCATGAACATTTTTCGCCTCATTGTCGATCGTTCGTGAAATTGCTACCACCTACGCGAGAGTACTTGACGGAATGAGAAATCGAAGCGAGCGAGGTCGTTGACCATTCGTCGGCGCGTTTCGTGCGGGGTAAAGGATTTTTGCATTAACCGTCGCTGCGCCGTTTTCCCTACCTTTATTTTCTTCCGGACAGGTGTTCGGAACGCGACAGAGGAATAGGAAAGAAATGGGTGGCGTGAACTAACGCCGGTGGCTCCTCGTGTGTGCCGTCGGGTTCGCGATGAAGAAACACAGATGATCGAGTAACCTTGATCAGTATTTAAATATTAAATATTGTAACACGCCAATAGTCTGGTCGTTACATAATACTTTATTTATAACTGTCTTCTAATAATACGTGTTGGCAAACTATTTTACATCTCATTCACTATTTATTTTGAACGGAACGTTTAGCCTAGTAGTGAAAGAGTCGTTCGCATGCTCGTTTGAAAAATGAACAACTTCTGAGAATAACGAATGGGAAGGAAGATCCCCCGGCTGGTTTTTAATAGAGGTCATTAATAATTGAAGACTTGACCGAACGGATAGAATCAAGCACAGCTGTTAGCTTTCTCTAACCGCATATGGAAACGGAAACTGAAAGCTGTTCGACGACTGGAGCCGAGATTGCTGCTATCAATCCGCTGGCTGCGCACTTGTCGCCTTCCGGTTTTGATAAGGGTGACGGTTTTTCTACTCGCGCCATCTGTGGTTCGCGTTACACTCAAACTGTAGCAGAACTTTCGTTCTCAGGTAACTAGGGTAGTTTTCCCATGGTTTTCCCACATTTGTCGGTAAGTTTTTGACATTTTTCTAAATATTTTTTAGATTACAAAACCGCACAGTCTGTACGAGCTGATACATTTTCTATCAACGAAGTTTGAAGCGACTAAGAAATTGAATTCAGGAATTTAATCCGATTGCCTTTCTGGTAAAAGAAGAACTCAGAATTAGAACAAATCATAATGAATTGAAACAATCCGCAAACAATTCTACATGTAAACACTGAAGGGCGAACTAATATTAACTCCAATCGCTACTAGCATTTCGACTTGTTTTCCTCGTACTGAATCAATTACGATAAAAATGGATAAAGAATTTACATTCCTCGTAGCAAACCGCATAAACATCCAACGCTAGTGATTCGCATTCAAATAACAATATGCAACAGAGAGTAAGAACAAAGATGATCTGATATTCTGAAAGCATTTGGAATTATTCCAAACTGGAGTAATATAATAAATGTCCCAATTTCTGTTCACGTCACAACTTCTACTACTCATAAAATTATAGGAGAAAAAGTGAATAGGAATTGCGACGTAAACAGAAATTAGGACATTCACTATACTACTGTCCTAATCCCACAGTTAATCAAAAGACCGTCTATGTCCATCTGACTGATTAAGCAGTGAAGAATCTCGTCGAGCTCAGTGTGAAATCGTTAACAAAGAAGCTGCTCTTCGCTAAAGGAGTCCACGCGATACGTGATAAGAATCGATGGGAGCGTAACGTGAGCGATCGGGGCTAAAAGCGGGAACCGTGTCGGCGATTTAAACGCGATCCAATAATATCGTGAGAGTGCGAACTCGGTAGGACCCCGGCGGACGATAATAGAATTCTCGATTCTATTCGCACGACCAGTATTTACACGACAATATTATTCTCCCCCCTGAGGATAGAAGAGAGCGGCGCGTGGTGCGAGAGAAAGAGACACAGGGTCCCATTAAAGGATAGCAAATAGGCGCGATCCGGCCGGTGAAGTCAACCTCGGGTTCCACGGGTGTTTCGCTTCCAGTACGCGACGAGACATCTCTCGGTGCGGTTCTCGCAACAACAACGTCGCACTCGTGCTGTCGCGTTTCCGTTTCCCGTGCGAATACGTCGCGATCCGACGAAAGGGGTGGTAGAGAGAGGGCGAAGGGTGGTTCAGGATGAACGAGAGGGACCTACAACTGGCTAGGGCGATGGTGGATCTCGAGCTGGACGAGACGGCCCCAAACAAAACCGCTGTGTCCAAGATGCACGATAAACAGCAGACGTTCAGGTGAGCGAGTCACTCCGATCGGAGTGACCTTTGACGCGGCAACCGACTATTCGCCGCGCGAATTGAATTACGAGTGATCGAACGCTGATCGATAGATCGTTCGATAGTTAAATGAAATTGCGTTTGAATCCGCGAGCCTCCCGCTATTACCAGTCGATGTTTTTTTTTAAATGAACTACGGACGCACGTTGTGGCACTCGGTGTAGTACGCGTCGTCGCGCGTGGAATTAATAGAAACCGCGATACGAAAATAAATTGGCACCGGTTTCTGTTTGTCTGATCACGGTTGGCGACAGGCGTAAAAATAAAAGGTTAGAGACTCGTCGATCGCAGGTGGTCGTACGTGGGAGCTCAAATGCTGAATTTCCTTAAAAGCTGGAGCGTAAAAGTCAAGGCCACAGTTGCCTCGGTATCGATTAGCATGTATTAGGTCACGATGTGATTGTTCGTACGTCGTAAAGTGCGATGGTGGTGTAATGGTGAGCATAGTTGCCTTCCAAGCAGTTGATCCGGGTTCGATTCCCGGCCATCGCACACGGAATATATTTTTGCTGCGTTCTATATTTTTCTTTTATTTCTTTTTGAATTGGTGAAACGGTTATTGTGAAATTAGTTCGCAGCCTCGGGACATTGTGCTAAAGGCTTATCGTTATATCGAAACCCTTCACTGACAATGAAACCAATTGGGCAGATCTAGGCCAAGGCTGAAAACGGACCTTGCCGTTATTACCTTTTGGAATAGAGCAAGAGAAAACTATAGAAGACATCGTGACCGAACATTGCTATCGAACACATATACTAGTGGTTCTTAAGTAATAGCAAACAACAATCAGTAATTGAAATTAAAGAAAAAGAAGAAAATTTTCACCATTTTTTTAATGGGACATTTAGGCCTGATGACTTCTACAAATGTTTTCAATATCTGGTCTTAAGTATGAAATAGCCGTTGCCATTTCCTCTTCTATTGGGTTGACAAGAAATAATTTCGGTTTTTATAATATAAATCGGTATCTGTAAAAATTGTAATTAATTTCTTGCCAACCAAATATACTCGTCAACCTTTCACGTTACTTCGTCTTAATGTTCGTTAATAACACGCGAAAGCAGATCTGATTCATGATCTAGTAGAAATCGATACAAGCTAACATAAGTACATAAGTAAACATGATGAAACTAAATACAGTGACATTTTCTTCTTAATCATCGTCTTAATTGTTCACTGAATTTCAAATTTTTTAACACTGCCTCTAAGTCCACGAAGCACCAGTTAAGAACCATTGATCTATTCGATCAAAGATTGCTTAATAGCCAGAGGGTTCAATTTGAATATCTGACGAAATCTCCAGGAATAAATCAAGGAAATCCTAATTAGAAGTTTAGAGTAGTTTCTTACATAACATACTATGTTCAGTGAGTAGAATTATTATATGAAGATAACTTGGGTCATTTA